GGCAGAAACCTCAACCCCCCCCCTCCCCATATTAAAATCAAAGTAACCATAACATTGATTACCACTTAAAGTGAGTTTGTCTTTACTTCAGAATATCAATCTCCCTCTAAATCTTTCGGACACTCATCTCCCTCCAGCTGCACTAAATCCAGACTGAGAAGATGCTCTGCATTACAGCCAGTTTGGGGGAGACTACGGGTGCCGTCTTAGGACAATACTAACGAATCTCAAAAAAAGTAAACAGCGCATGCGCAAAAAGAAGAAACGGGAATGCTTTTTTTGTGGAATTAAAGATGCTTGGCCATATCAGAATGTATTTCACTCTGTTACATTCTCATACATACACAAGCACGATATAGACAGCTGTAAAGTATTTGTTTGTACCCTGATACTATTTTTTTTAAGAAACCAGTCACAAATAAACTCAAACCCAGCAGTTTGTTTAAAACCAAAGAACTGATGAATTAATAATGTTTTTGGTGACGTCTGTTTTGTTTTTCACCTTTCCATGTTGTCGAAAATGACACACAGAGAAACTCACCAAAACATAAACATAGAAATCCATCTACATACAGTGCAAAAAACTAGACTCTGCATGAAAACAAAAAACTGCATGAATACAATCATCAAGCAATATTAATGGTATTATTAATAAAAACATGCAAACAGACTTACATTTCTGTAAGCCTCGTCTGGTCCTGCACTCTGCACTGTGATCCACACTATAGGAGAAGCAGAATGACATAGTGCTGCTGTATCCATGCATTTATTGGTGCCTCTTCTTCACATACATGCATAAGTATCTGTAGCATGTCAGACACACTCTCTACTCACTTCAGCTTCTCCAGTTTACAGCTGGGATCCTTCAATAGAGCAGAGAGCAGCTTCACTCCTGAGTTTCCTGGATGATTGTAGCTCAGGTCCAGCTCTCTCAGATGTGAGGGGTTTGACCTCAGAGCTGAAGCCAGGGAAGTACAGCCTTCCTCTCTGACTCTGCAGCCTGACAGCCTATAGATAGGAAATCACAACATTTTGGACAAAATACAGGTGGCAACGATTCTTCAGAATGCCAGTGCTGATGTGCCCAAAGCCACCAGCGACTGGCCTGGACCCACCAGACAAACAGCCCATCAGCACCTCCCCCTTTTCCTCCATCCCTGTTCTTCCTGTTCCTGGTAAAAAGCTGCCTTTTGGGGGAATATTCTGCACCCAGGTTTGCCTGTCTGCCTATGCTCCTGCGGCCGCTACACACAGTTCACTGAAGCTCATCTTTTAGCCCCACTGACAGTGAAGTAATAGACATAAATGATCAGCTCAGCTCAAAATTAAACCATCCAGTGACAGCACCCCACTGCATGAAATTTAGAACAACTGGATTCCCTGGACTCCTGCCACAAGAAGAGCACTGATGGCAGAGAGGATGAGGCCCTGTGGTGACGCCAAGAGCAAACGGTGTGATGTCACAGGTGCAGGAAAGTCGGATAAACCCCAAAGGGTGACGATCAGCACCAAAGCACTGGACAGAAACTGCTAGATCCCCACAGTCGGCCACAGAAACATCTGCGAGAAATTTAGGAGTGCCAACAGGAGGCTGCCAGCAGCTGATAATAGCTACATAGTGGGGGCAGGATCGCCTCCCCCAGTGTGGTTCAAAGCCTGCATCGTAGGCAGCAGGGGGAGAGGCTGACTGGTTAGACAGACGGCCTGGAGGATGACCACATGGAAAGGACTGCCACCTTCCGCCTGCACAACCAGTGACCAAGGAGCCGGACCCAGCTGTCTGCCCTTTCTAAATGTACCCCTTTTCCCCCCTAAAATAAACACTGCCCCTTATGGGGTGTCCACTGCAACCCTGTGTCTCCTGCCTCCTTACCCAACACAGGAGACTAACCTGGGAAAGATTAACCTTCACATCCAGATCAGAACAGAGCTGGGAAACACCCCCATCTGACTGCCGAGGGGAATCGCTGATGATCCCCTCAAGGAGAGGGCTGTACAGAGCCTCCCATGTTCTGGCTGTGAAAACACTGGCAGCAGGTGAATATGTGTACAGTGGATGTCAAAAGCTGACACACACCTATTGTATCTGTACCTGTTTTCTGAAAAATAAAAAGTTGAAATTCATACCTGCTTAATAAGAATGAAATGGTCTGAGTGCAGTGGTTCGCTTGTCTAACTTGCCTTGCAGCCACCAAAACACTTTATAATATTAAAGTATCAGGTTAGTAATTGAACCTTCAAACTGGACTGACCTCAGTATCTCCAGCTTACAGTGTGAATCCCCCAGTCCAGCAGAGAGCAGCTTCACTCCTGAATCCTGCAGGTCATTGTTACTCAGGTCCAGCTCTCTCAGGGGTGAGGAGTTTGATCTGAGAGTTAAAGCCAACGTGTCACAGCATGTCTCTGTGAGATTACAGCTGTTCAGCCTGGAAAAAGAAAATATGTTGAGACACAGACACATATATAACCTACACATTGTTAATAGTACTGTAAGTGACCACATACTGTACAGTTGCAAGAAAAAGTGTGTGAACCACTTATAGTTAAGTGTGTGAATTATATGTATTTGTGCACAAATTGGTCATAAAATGTGGTCTGATCTTCCTCTAAGTCACAACAATACACAAACACAATCTGCTTAAACTAATACCACACAAATAATCATATGTTTTCATGTTTTTATTGAACACACCATGTAAACATTCACAGTGCAGGTGGAAAAAGTATGTGAACCCTTGGAGTTAATAACTGGTTGACCCTCCTTTGGCAGCAATAACCTCAAACACACGTTTCCTGTAGTTGCAGATCAGACCTGCACAACGGTCAGGAGTAATTCTTGACCATTCCTCTTTACAGAACTGTTTCAGTTCAGCAATATTCCTGGGATGTCTGGCGTGAATCGCGTTATTGAGGTCATGCCACAGCATCTCATTTGGGTTGAGGTCAGGACTCTCCACTGGGCCACTCTAGAAGGCGTATTTTCTTCTGTTGAAGCCATTTTGTTGTTGATTTACTTCTATGCTTTGGGTCATTTTCCTGTTGCATCACCCATCTTCTGTTGAGCTTCAGTTGGTGGACAGATGGCCTTAAGCTCTCCTGCAAAAGTCCTTGATAAGCTTGGGAATTCATTTTTCCTTCGATTATAGCAATCTGTCCAGGCCCTGACGCAGCAAAGCAGCCCCAAATCATGATGCCCCCTCCACCGTACTTCACAGTTGGGATGAGGTTTTGATGTTGGTGTGCTGTGCCTCTTTTTCTCCATACATGGTGTTGTGTGGGTCTTCCAAACAACTCAACTTTGGTTTCATCTGTCCACAGAATATTTTGGCAGTAGTCCTGTGGAACATTCAGGTGCTCTTTTGCAAACTTCAAATGTGCAGCAATGTTTTTTTTTTTTGGACAGCAGTGGCTTCCTCCGTGGTGTCCTCCCATGAACTCCATTCTTGTTTAGTGTTTTACGTATCGTCGATTCACCAACAGGGATGTTAGCATGTGCCAGAGATCTTTGTAAGTCTTTAGCTGACACTCTAGGATTCTTCTTCACCTCATTGAGCATTCTGTGCTGAACTCTTGCAGTCGTCTTTACAGGACAGCCACTCCTAGGGAGAGTAGCAACAGTGCTGAACTTTCTCCATTTATAGACAATTTGTCTTACCGTGGACTGATGAACATCAAGGCTTTTGGAGATACTTTTATAACCCTTTCCAGCTTTATGCAAGTCAACAATTCTTAATCGTAGGTCTTCTGAGAGCTCTTTTGTGCGAGGCATTGTTCACATCAGGCAATGCTTCTTGAGAAAAGCAAACTCAAAAACTGGTGTGTGTTTTTTATAGGGCAGAACAGCTTTAACAAACACCTCCAATCTCATTTCATTGGTTGGACTCCAGGTTGGCTGACTCCTGACTCCAATTAGCTCTTGGAGATGCCATTAGCCTTGGGGTTCACATACTTTTTCCACATGCACTGTGAATGTTTACATGGTATGTTCAATAAAAACATGAAAACATATAATTATTTGTGTGGTATTAGTTTAAGCAGACTGTGTTTGTCTATTGTTGTCTTAGAGGAAGATCAGATCGCATTTTATGACCAATTTGTGCAGAAATGCATATAATTCCAAAGGGTTCGCATACTTTTTCTTGCAACTGTAATCATCAGGAAGCTTTATTTTGAAATTCATGAGATGGCGCAAGAGTAGCGCACAATAGTGAGGGTTTATGGGAAAAACAGCAAACCTTAGGATCACACACAGACCTCCAATGCACTTCTCATGCATCTTCACTGGAGCAGAATGTATAAAAACGTGAATCGCTTAAGAAGCCTGATTGATAGCTGAGAAGTTAAAGTTTGTAGCCTCGGGAAGTGAAACGAGGTATGATATCTTTAGGTATGCACTGTAAAGTAACACTCTTTGTTGTTTTGTAATGTTATTCTTTGTTTGAATTACTTATTTATGTTTGTGTAACTCCCGAATATTTTGTTGTATTGGATTTGTACGTACACTAAATTATTACTGAGGTTGTTAACATTTTTTTTGAACAACGTGCAAAGCTGACTGTTTATTTATATTCTTTCTTTAGTTTCATGGTGCTCGCAGAGAGGAAATAAATTCATTGCACCTGTTTGGAGACTCTCTACTTTATAATCGATTCCGATGGCAGCAACAAGTACTGACAGCAACATTAAAACAAGCAAACAGCGCATGTCACTGGTGGACTCAGAGGGGGAATGGCAGCAGGTGAATATGTGTACAGTGGATGTCAAAAGCTGACACACACCTATTGTATCTGTGCATCATGGCCTGCTTTCTGAAAAATAAAAAGTTGAAATTCATACCTGCTTAGTGAGAATGAAATGGTCTGAGTGCAGCAGTTCGCTTGTCTGACTTGCATTGCAGCCACAGAAACACTTTATAATATTAAAGTACCAGTTTAGTATTTGTACCGTCAAACTGGACTGACCTCAGTATCTCCAGCTTACAGTGTGAATCCCTCAGTCCAGCAGAGAGCAGCTTCACTCCTGAATCCTGCAGGTCATTGTTACTCAGGTCCAGCTCTCTCAGGGGTGAGGAGTTTGATCTGAGAGTTAAAGCCAACGTGTCACAGCATGTCTCTGTCAGATTACAGCTGTTCAGCCTGGAAAAAGAAAATATGTTGAGACACAGACACATATATAACCTACACATTGTTAATAGTACTGACAGCAACATTAAAACAAGCGAGCAGCACAGACCACTGGTGGACTCAGAGGGGGAATGGGGGGGCAGTCACCACCCTGGTGCCTCCATGGCTGAAAAAACGCCATTTCCCTAAGGAATGGTGAAAATGCAACTATTAGCTGCCCATCGCACGATTTAGCACCATCTAGGGTGCCCCCTTCACGGGAGATGGTGCCTTACAGAGCAAGAAGATATGATGAAGTGTATTAATGAGAGCCCTTCTAGTGGAGGATATGTGATGCAGTTCCCTACAAGGTGCCCTTACAATGGTCTAAACAGCTCCTATGGGTACCCTCCTAACAGAAAAGGGTGCCATTAAGCCCTTATAGTGGAGGATATGTGATGGAGTGCCCTAAAAGGTGCCCATATGTATAAGCGGTCCCTATATGTAGAAAACGGTGCTGGACCAACCTATTCCGGGCCATCAGAGCAGCAAATAGTGCAAATGCTCAGAGAATCCACAGCCACATCCAAATCACTGGGGACGTACGACACATGTGGCAGGGGATCTGGGCCATCACCCACTACAGGACATCTCCACCTGTCTGTGACACTGAGACCTCTCTTCCTCTCTTCACATCTATGCACAGTCTGAAGCACAGAATGACATGGCAGCAAGGAAGATCACCCCTCCCCCCAACGACCAGAGGCTCCACCTGACTATGACTTCTGTGAGGAGAATTCTGTTCAGAATCAACCCACAGAAGGCCGCTGGACCAGACAACATTCCTGGTCTTCAGCTCAGGGGATGTGCAGACCAGCTGTCCTTACAGACATCTTCAATATCACTCTGAGCATCACTGTCATTCCAACATACTTCAAAGCCACCACAATCATCTCTGCGCCAAAGAAGTCTTGTGTCCTGCCTCCATAACTATCGTCCTGTCTCATTCACACCGATCATCATGAAGTGCTTTTAAAGGCATGAGCTACATAAAATCACAGATGCCTCCTTTACTGGAACCCTGGCAGTTTGCGTATCATCCAAACCGCTCATCAGATGATGTCATCACCACCCCCCTCCACCTGGCCCTCACCCACCTGGACAAAAAGGACAATTATGTGAGATTACTGTTCAGCACTCAACACAATCATTCCCCAGCAGCTGACAGGAAAGCTGAGACTACTGGGCCTGAACACCTCCCTCTGCAACTGGATCCTGTACTTCCTGAGAGACCTCAGTCAGTCTGGATCAGCAGGAACATCTCCAGTATCACCGAGCTGAGCACAGGGGCCCCCTCAGGGCTGTGTGCTCAGCCCTCTGCTGTTCACGCTGTTGAACCTCAACTATGCAGTAACGCACAGCTCAAACCACATCATCAAGTTTGCTGATGACACAACCTTGGTAGGTCTGATCAGTGAGAATAAGGAGGTGGCATAAAGAGAGGAGGTGTAACAGCTAATGGACTGGTGTGGAACCAACAACCTCTCTCTGAATATGGACAAGACAAAGGAGATGGATGTCGACTTTAGGAGGGCACGCTGTGACCACTCTCCACTGAATATAAATGGATCCTCAGAGGAGATCGTCTAGAGCACCAAGTTCCTTGGTATCCACATTGAGGAAAACCTCACATGGACCCTCAACACCAGCTTCATCGCCGAGAAAGCCCAGCAGTGCCTCGAATTCCTGCTGAGTCTTTAGGAAGCATCCCATTGGGAATGGGTGCTGTTATGAAGTGCCCTTCTATTGGCACATATGTGATGCACTCCCAAGATTCTGGATGTTGCTTACAGCTGTAGTGGAAAATTACCACCAAGCATGATGTCTGATGGTTACTAAGGAAGTTAGGCTGCAAAATAAGGTTGCTATGCTCGAAGAAACAGATACAAGAGACTGGGGAGGGGTTTTAGACCTTACCCATGTTAAGCTAGACAAGAGATGAATTTTTATTCTATATATGGTAAATATAAGATGCTTGTGCTAGACGAA